ACTAGAGAGGATGTGGAAAGTCAAGGCCAAAGTGGTCCCAGTGGTGGTAGGAGCACTTGGGACTGTGACCCCTAAGCGGGTAGAATGGCTCCAACGGATCCCAGGAACAACTCAGAGCTCTCTGTCCAGAAGACTGCAGTGCTAGGAACAGCTCAGATCCTACTCAGAACCCTCAAACTCCCAGGCCTCTGAAAGAGGACCCAAGACTGAGGAAGACACGTACCGCCCAAAGGGGTGAGAGGGGATTTTTTTTTTTAATGAATCAACCTTAATCTCAAACCTGTAGACACCATTTTAACATTTTTAAGAACCTGAAACCATTACTGTGGCTTTATCAGAAATTCCAGTTCTTTATCCCAGAAATGTCTACTTTAAAAATATTCTTGAGCTTTTGATAGAGATACGTTATAGGTTTTATTTCTATAATGAATTCCATCAGGCAAGAAACAACTCAAGTGCCTTTGAGGCAGCCAAAGCGTCTAGTTCACATTGATTTGTTAGAACATGCTTAAGCTGAAAAAATCTCCACTGTTGTGGAGATTGGAAAGACCAAATTCAATTTGAAGTTGAGAAAAATCCTTAAAATAGTCATTGCGCAGTAGTTGCTTTGAAGTCATAATCCCGGCTTCCACCCAAGGTTTCCAATAGAATTATTTACCACCAATATTCAAAGCGGGAGTTTCCAAAAAGTTAGATATTTATTTTTATTTATTTATAAATCAAACTCAAAACAGCATGGTATGCTGCCCATCTCGCTATACAAGTGACTCTTGGCAGCTCACCCATAAAAAGCATAAAGATAGTTAAAAACACAGAACAAAGTTTAAAAAACTACACGTGGAGTTAAAGAGCAGAGAGAACATCTACAGGGCACTGAGCACACCCAGTGTCAGGAGTCTATTCATGAGTCTTGTTATAAAAACTCAATGTACGTCCCAATGTGGGCCAAAGATTTCTCACTGCTCCCACTCCTGGAAATAAAATACCTTTCCTGCTATATGTTGTTCATAGCACTTGCCATGACCACAAAGGAAATAGATAATAGGTTTTCAACATGACCCATCACTACAGGGACCCTGTTTTCTTGGAAAAAATATAGGAGAAGCCTGAGAAAGGGGCAAATCTGAAAGAGGCTCATAAGGATTATAATTATTATTATTAATAATAATAATAATAATAATAATAATGGTTTATGTTTATAATTTTGCTTTACAAGGAAAAGTTCAAGAGCAAAACTAAGAAAATAATTAAATTAAATCTAAAGGACGGTTTTCTGAAATAAAGGACTATCCTTTATAATGAAAGATGTATGGTCACTGTACCAATAAGGGATAATATTTATTTACCTACTTATTCGATTTATATAACCACCCATCTCCCTTTTAAGTGACTCTCAGTGACTTACAGTAAAACAAAAAAAAAAATACATAAAATACACAATATAAAAAGAAAATAAAAATAAAAACACATAGCAGACAGGCATATTCTAACTTATTATCCATGCAGTCAGGAGATGGGCTCTAACCCATGTGGAGGGCCCCAGACTCAGGCACAAAGCTGAGTTTTTAATGCCTTATGAAAGGCCAACAGGGATGGGGCCAATCTAATCTCAGGGGTGATGATGTTCCAAACGGTGGGTGCCACAGCAGAAAAGGCTCTCCTTCTTGGGCCCGCCAGCTGACCATTGCAGGGCCCCAGAAACAAAGGGAACCCCGGCACGCCTCTT